TGCAATGACTATACTCACTATACCTTCGTTCAAAAGTCGGTTTTTTATTTCAAGCTAAGATTTAATAAAATAGTAATTTAATAATAACATAAAGACAATGGGTAAGAAGAAAAACAAAAAAGTGATAAGGCCATGGTGCTGGTATGTTTTTTGAAAGTTCTTGGAGGGGGGGTTTCTTGTCATCGCTTGTCAAATAACAATATAATGGGTTGTACTTTAGGTATTGTGAACGAGATTTCGAGGATGAAAAAGTTTTAATCCAACATCAAAAAGCTAAGCATTTTAAGTGCCCACACTGTAATAAAAAACTTAACACGGCTGGTGGAATGGTGGTTCATGTTGCTCAAGTACATAAAGAAACTATTGACACGTAAGGATTAGAAACTATATATATAACAGTAACGAATAAAATATTTTATTTTATTTTATTTTGATTATTTATTTGTTTAAATTCTCTGAAAGCTGAGTAAAAAAAAAAAAAAAAAAAGAAAAAAAAAAAAAAAAAAAAATCCAAGGCTAGTTTAAATAGTTGGTTGATGAGGTTCTGTTTTTTTTATCGTAACAATTTTTGACATTGGTTATCTTTCTTTTCATAAATTTTATAGAGTTCCCAATGCAATTAAGGGTCGAGAATCGGTAGATGTGGAAATCTTCGGCATGGAAGGGATTCCACAACAGGATATGATGGCACACGTGCAAGCACTCGAAAGTGGACAACCTTCCAAAAAAATTAAGCTCGACGAACCATCACCGGTCGAACTTACAAGTGAAGAGATTAAAAAACAATTGGCTCAACATCAGGCGATGATGCAAGGTAATTCGCAAGGCAGTCAGGCCTACACTTTTACTCCCGGTTTTCCTGCACAACAATCCATGCCTTCGTTGATGCCCCACCAGTACAGTCAGTTTTATCAAAGACCGGCTCCATCATTTCCACAGTCTGGTCCTTTCCGATCAACGTAGGCTTACTTAGACATTTTACCTGATTACACCGATGCGAGGTCTAACATTATATATAAATTTTCATTACCAGCGTATTACCAGGACAAGCACTGCCGACTGTTCCAGGACAACCGTGGCGTCCCGCGGGCCCTGTTGGCGCTCCTCCGCTGTACGGAAGTGTGCCCTACGGCTCTCAGGTCCCTTCCTCCAATAATTTGCAGTCGTCGGTATTTCCTAATCGACCAATAAATACCATGTTACCTGCAAACACAATTTATCCCCAAGTTTCATCTCCAGCCTATGCCCCCTATAGCAACGGACCCTCGGCAAGTTCCGTTTCCACATCGACCGCCACGTCATCTGTGGTCGAAGGCGGTATACAGTTTGACGACTCGAATAATCAATCTTCCACTCAAAATGCGCAGAAATCGACTTCAAAAGTGGTCCTGATTTACAGTGATAATGAGATCTCAATGGTATGTTATTATTTTGAAAAAAATTTTTTCCGCCTTCTTTCAATGCCTGCATCTCGAATTCTTCTTTATCTGTCTAAATTTACAGGAAGAAAAAAGAGCGGAGCTCGAAAAATATCGATATAATGAAGAACAATTTAAATAGCAGGTGCATGCTCTCGATCTATCTGTCCAATCTCGTGTTGCAAACCTTAAGGGGAGGGTTGTGTGATGGGATAATGGTTGTTTTTAGACAGGATCTTACACAGTTTTATATGTATGACAGCCTCCAATATTTTAGATACACTTCTTTTGTAAGCAAGGATTATCTGGTAAGGAAATAAAATCCGGTAAGCGAATACAGTATACAAGGATGCCGGTTATTTTGACATTCAATCGATTTTTGTTTCCTTGTCACGTGGTCCCAGTTTTATAAACCCAAGAGAAGCGCATTATTTCTTCATTACTATAACCTCACACTATCAGCTAAACAAATTTTCTTTGGGTGTATTCTTTAACCTCATCACGATTCTTGGCTTCTTTCCGTCAGTTGTTGGGGTTTGTATATTGTATATTCTTTTTACCCTTGTTTTCCACGGATTTATAGAATTTATAACTATTTATAAAATACATGTGATACTTGAACACCAGGAGAATATATCTTTCTTTTCAGGTTGGTTGTATCAAGGTAGGAACTTCTTGAATAGGAATGCATAGTGTTTTTCCACGCATGTCGTTGGTAGGACGTTTGCTGTAAAATACAAATAAAATTCGATACTTTTATTTTACTATAATACAATGCATCTTGTGTTATTTAAGCA